ATGAAAGAAATTACTATTTATAGAAGAGTTGCGAATATAGCATAATAGACAGCTGGTCTGCTGGTCTACTGGTATGTTAAAGTATTCGATTACTGGCCAGCCAAAATATTTATGTTCGTTTCCTTTTGGAAGACAGTAGCAATCCACTGAGAATAACGTCTTTACTAAAAATTTGCCGTTCAGAACCGGCGTTAGATTGAAAATGCCATACATATACCTGTAACAATCACCATGCGCACCACAGATAGACACGGACAATAGGAAGGGAGGATATAGGAAGGAGGAGGATAGAGGGGTTAATGCTTATACGATTGATAATATTCAACTGTCGTAGTTAGTGACACTCAGTCGTTTTCATAATGGCAAGATATTCATTTTTTAGAGTTACTTTTAGCTTTACTTTTGTCATCACGTATGGCTTTGCTAATGACACATTGTCTTTTCCCAAGGATTTTCTATTTGGCGTATCTACTGCTGCTTATCAAGTAGAAGGAGCTTGGAATATAAGTGGTACGTAAAGAGCTTTTGTTCAATGATTAATATCATTTAATTGTCTATATTAAGAAATAGATACATAAGCAAATATTATGGTATATTACATACAAATGATTTTGTCTAAATTTTTTAATTAATTTAGTATGTGTATTTAAATTCGAAAAGGTAAAGGCATAAGTATTTGGGATCGATGGACACATGATCATCCAAATCTTATACGTGATGGCAGCAATGGTGATGTGGCTTGTGATACTTATCACAAATATAAAGAAGATGTACAGATATTAAAGAACATAGGTGTACGTTTAAATATATTTTATCAGAAACGATATATTAGACATTAAAATATAATATTTTAGGTTGCCTTTTATCGCTTTTCTCTCAGTTGGACACGTATTTTACCAACTGGTTATCCTAATAATATTAATCAAGAAGGACTTAATTATTACAAAAATCTTATTAATGAATTATTAGCGAATGGTATTGAACCATATGTCACTTTATATCATTGGGATCATCCAGACATCTTTGAAACCATGGGTGGATGGACTAATGAAATGATGGTTGAATGGATATCCAATTATGCAAGAGTTGTTTTTAAAGAGCTTGGCCCCAAAATTAAATACTTTATAACTCTCAATGAACCCGGAATCTTTTGCGATCACGGATACACGACAGGCATAAAAGCACCAGGTATATTTTATTTATATCAATTTAATATCCAAAAACACACGTCTATCGAAATTTGCTAGATACTTTTTAAAATAAAATGTTCTTATAGGAAAGAAATTAGGCCGTATTGGTCAATATCTTTGTGTGCATAACATGCTGAAGGCACATGCCAGGATTTATCATATTTATAACAAAGAATTTCGGAATCAGCAAAAAGGCCAAATCGGTATAGTTTCATACGGCGTAGGCCTATTCCCGAAAAATGCTTCTGATATCGCAGCAGTAGATATAGCTTTCCAATTTATTTGCGGATGGATAAACCATCCTATTTTTTCACAGACTGGTGATTACCCAGCAATTATGAAAACTCGTATAGCTGAGAGCAGTAAATTAGACGGTTTTCCAAAATCAATTTTGCCAGTATTTTCACCAGAATGGGTGCAGTATATTAAGTAAGAAATTTACAGCATAAATAATATAAATATTGTATATAAATATTATAATTAATGACAAATTAATATCATTTCTCGACTTGTATTATCTTTTTCATTTTTAAGAGGTACATCAGACTTCTTCGGAATAAATATTTATACTTCAAAAATAGTAGAAACGGTGCCACGAATTAACGGACAGCCATGGTATGAATATTCCGGCATAAAAAAAAGTGTAGATCCATCGTGGCCAAAAACCGCGCTACCTGACTTCAGGGTTAGTTAACATAGAAGATGCATATTAATTGCGTGTATGAAATTAGCGGATATCAATTTTCGCGGGTTCGAAACTTTTGTTTGTATAGGGTTTGCTAGAAATTTATTAATTTGACCCTAATAACACATCAGGCACAATTAAGTCGTACAGATGGTTTAACTTATTATTATGAATAATTCATTCTGTGAATTATTCATAACCTGTACTCAATGCCATAAATTGGAAATCAGAATCGAGTGTATTTCAGACAAATATGCATATTCTGATAATTCAGTTGAATCGAACATAACTGATGAAATTATGATCTATTACAGAAAAATTAATAATTAACTGTTAAATAAACTTGCTAAATATAATTTGTTACATGTTACAAAGTAACGAATTTTTTGTCACTTTTACGTTAGGTTAATTATATCGATATTATCTTTCTTAAATATAATAAAATTAATAAAATAAAATAATTTTTTAATTAAGTATATCGATGCGAATAAAATATTATTTATGTCTGTATATAACAAGTCATATTTCAAATATTAAATATTTCAGATTGTTCCTGCTGGATTTCGACAACTTCTTAATAAAATTACAACTGAATATAATCGTCCACCTATCTTCATTTTCGAGAATGGTTTCTCCGACTCATGTTGTACTTATGATTATGCAAGAATATCTTTCTTAAATTCTTATATGAAGGAAATGTTAGCTGCCATTAAGAAAGATAATTGTAATGTGAAAGCATATACTGTTTGGAATCTCTTTGACGATTTTGAATGGGAGTATGGTTATACGTAAGTTATTACATTTGATATATTTTTATAAATACTTTTTAAATAAATATATATTTATACAAAATTTTACTTTTAACAGACTACGATTTGGATTAGTAAGTGTCGATCATAACGATCCTAATCGAACAAGAACTCCGAAATTGTCAATGGATTGGTATAAACAAGTTATTAAGTCTCGAAAACTTGAGAATTCTTAGATAGATAAATATATAAGATAAATATATTTTAAGTTAGACCTACAAGTTAGATAAAAGGACATAAAATTATTTAGTTGAACATTCCGTTATTTGTTTGAGTCTCTGTTATTTCTAAATTAATTGTTTATATATTATGTTACATATATATATATATATTAGTTCATCTATGAAAAAAAGGAAACACTAAAATATTATAAATAAATTGTCTAATTGTCATTATACATAATCTAATCTATAATCTATCTATCTATCTATATTATTTCTATTTCTATGTGCAATATAATCTATATCTTAGATATAGATTATGCAGAATGGATTATATTGCACGTAATAGAAATAATTGAGCATAATCATAAGAATGATAGAAATGTCATAAGTAATATTTTTTTTATAATATATGTGTTAAGTATTCTGATCTACGATCGGTCGAATTGTAAAAAGCATCGGAACAACCATAGCAATCGCGATTCGAGAAATAAACGAAGTACAGGTTTTCAAAAAGGAGTAATCGCATGCTATTACTCTCGGGAAATATCTTTCACCATGTTCAAAGCGAAAACCTTGTCAAAGTAACGAGTGCGCTTTCAGCAGAACGAAGTAACTCATTATGGCATATAGTTTATTATTTTTATATTTTTTATTTTCGCACGTACCTTCTCAATCTAGTAAATTTCAGAACGAATTCCGAACGATTCTTACAATAAATATAAATTTGAAAGGAAATGAGCAATTAAAATAAATTTACCAAATCTAAACAAATATTAAATTTATTAATTGTAAAATATTCATTTCAAGTTTTTTATAATTACAGTCTTATACAATTTATTTGATAAGCCCAATATTGTTGATTTCAATATCTCTATTTTTTAATAAATGTTTTATATATGTTTGTCAAATTTGTCTGAAAAATTCCGATTTATTGTGAAGATATCATTGATTTTATTACTTTAGAATTTCATATTTTAGAAATGATTTTTGTAACTTATAATGTGAAGCTATAATCAGAAAATGATAGATAACATGAGGAACGCGTTATAATTCAAGAAAGACTAACGGTCCATCTTCGTTTAATCCATTGCCAGGTTTACTCTTTTGCGCTGGGTAGATTGTATTGCCAGTGAGTGAGATAAGGCGTTAAACAAAAAGACGTGTAGGTCGAGGGGATGGCGAGGGGATGACGCTGCGAATGCTTTCTGGTGCCTATCTCGTTTATACAGCTTTCTATGCACACCGACCCGGCTAATAAAAAAAAAGAAGGAGGGACGGAAATAACAGATCGCGCTTCGGCAAGCAGAATCTCGTGTAATTACCCAGGAGCGCCGTTGTACGTTGCACTCGTATCACGTTCGTCGATGCTCCGTGGAGAATGTACTCAAAGCCCGTTAACGAAAGGCAAGCGCGACGCGCTAAGAATGGATCTTTAAGATCGATGGCACCAATTTACTCGATATACACATAATTAAGAAAAATGTCTAATTAATGGATCTAAATTTTGCTTTACTGAGATATTTAACTACGTTTATCTTGGCGCATAAATGGTGAATGTCAAATACGGATAATGTCGGTGCCAATACCGAGTGCACGTTATACCGATTATAATCGACCATTCGTCAGCATTCCTAAACATCTTTAGTCGTTCCGAATATCGGCTCCGCGGGTGTTAATTGTACCCATGCGCTATGTATATTCCGCATCATCCCCATGCACACAATAATTTACGCATAATTGGTACAATTTAGATAACTCGTGGCGGTATCAAATTATACCGTGTAAACACACGCGAGACCGTCTGCGCGTGCATAGTCCGTAACTCGATAATTATGTATTCGTACATATTAAACGGGCCGCGCGAGCCGACTCGACAGTTTCGATGAAGTACTAAGAGGTGTCTAGACGGGAATATGCATACGCGCCAACAACTCGCGCTGCTTGAAGATCGTTTACATTTTAATGTAAATATTGTATATGCACAATATATGCATGTGGACCGAAAATCCGTGCCTTGGAATCCCATGGGTAAGATTAGCTGTGCACCGTATGGAGAGCCGAACAAATTTGCGGTGGCGGGATGAGACGAAGGCGCCGTTTTTGCGATTAATTTTATTGCCTGAGTTAGAATGGGCGATCAAATGATGATTCCTCGAACAGATCTCAACAAAGAAGAGGATGGCAACGGTGAAAAGCTTAGGGGATACTTTTTCGTATGAATTGATTCGCACAGTCATTTCGACTTAGTAAACCCAGGGACTTTTCAATACACTGTGCAGACATTCGCGTCTACACATCTACACATCACATATATGTAAATATTACATATATTTACACAGGATTCGAGATCAATCATTTCGGGAGAATAGAAATCCAAAAATAAGAAAGTTGATCTAAACATGGATCCGAAAAGATATTGTTATCGAGTATTTTTAAGTTGAAATTTGAAATTGCTTTCGAATTTTTTTGTCAAAATTGAAAGAACAAATATTCATAAGTGATTATAAGTGGTTATAAGTTTAATAACACAATTAAAGTCAAATAAAAGTTGCGAACTGCTTTAGTATTACTCAGAATGTATAACTGTAGTAGTTCTGATCTCTGTCAAGAGATGCTAAGCGAGCTGTATCTCCACGTGGTATATTCTGTGTAATGCTAAAGCAGTCTGCAACTTTTATTTAACTTTAATTATATTATAAAACTCATAAAGACCATCTCTTCTTTCAATTTTGACAAAAAAATTCGAAAGCAAAGCAATTTGATATTTTAACATAAAAAGCTGATAATAGCTGATATTTCAGATCTGCCTTTTCTTCCAAAAAATATATGGATTTTACAAAATTGCCTATATGAAATTTTTCTGTTATGTTTTTCATAACGTTTGAAAATCTTTTTATAAAAACATAAGTTAAAAATATAAATTGTCTTAGTCATACCTTCT